CGAACTGGGTGGGTGGCCGAGCGGGACCCTGGCGGCGCAGCGGAATGGAGCCCCTGGCGCTGCTCGTTCAGCGCTTCGCCGCGTTTCGAGTGCTGTGTCCCCGTGCCGCTCCTAGTCCAGTGCCGCTCCAGTGGGATTGGCAGTCGTGCAGGCTCCTGTCGCTGCTTTTACCCGCCTGTTTTTCAGGGTCGCGTTTGTTCTGGTCGCGTTTGACAAATCGCTTTTTGCCACTTAGTGTCAGCATAGCGTAACACATTTGCTTCAATTAAATGCAGGCTGAATTGCAGTCTTACAAACGTGAGGTGTGGCATCCCTCCCTTAAACGAACGCGGTTATTTGGACCTTCAAATGTAGTTATATACGGTAAAGATCGGGTTAAATTTAGGATCACCAACACTGTTCTAAAACTTGTAGCTTTGTACTGCATCATACTCTCTCAAACGACCCTAGAGGCAGGGAAGGAAGCTTGCTTTACCAAATTCCCCTGGTTGTGCATGGGATGAAACTGTTAGGAATGTGGTATTGCAGAAGTTGTGAACAGCTTGCTTAACAATGCCTCATCTAATGGCAGTTAGTAGCACATCAGTGATTACTGATGACTAAAGAGCTGGTCAGAAAAGGCAGTGGGAGGGAGGAGAATAAGTGCACCTTTTGTTAAGAGAAACATAGAAATGAGTTTTCTAGGAAAAGACTGACTAGCTGGTAGGGGACTTCCAAGTTTATCAAGCACTGACAGTAAATGGGAAATTACGAGTCTTTTAAAGCTGAGATTTAGTACACTGATAGTTCCATGGGGTTAAATGCCTCTACAAATTAATTTTCACAGTGTTATAATACAATGCAGGATACAAGAATGAAAACTCGTATTTCAGAAGAGATCAGATTTATCTGAAGTGTGCATGTATGCAATAGTATTTGCTTTTTATTTGAAAATTTAAGCTGCTTTTTTAACATTTTAATGGAAATACGGTCTGTGTTCCAGGAGCTGGGAAAACAACTCTTCTAAATTACATACTGACAGAACAGCATAGTAAAAGAATAGCAGTTATTCTGAATGAGTTTGGAGAAGGTATGTAAATCTGTAGAAACATTCTTTTAGCCCTAAAATGACAAATATATAAAATTTCTGGAAATCAAGAACATTGTAGTATTAAATCCATTACTGAAATTATTGACATACCTCATAGCCTTCAGAAGGGCAAAAAATCTTTTGGTTGGTGTTTATAAAATAGTACTATGCATTAATCTGTTTGGTACATAAATTCAGTCCCTCAGTCAAGTAAGTGAATATATCAGTCTGTTGGAAGTGCTATACCTCCATTTTTCCTACTCAGTTTCAAGCAAATTGAAACTAACATGTTGGTAGATAATATTTTCTTTTCTTTGCTTTCTCCTCAGCCATTTACAGATCACAAACTATCCTAGACCAAGAAAATGAGGAGATGTGTGCTTGGTGTCTATATTTTTTTGAACTCTTCACTTTCCTTCTCAGGATTTTCACTGTTACGAGTATTGTTTCATATCTGTACCATAGTCAGAATTGCTTACGGTTTGCTCTGTGTTGGTGGTGGTTGGTTTGTTTGTTTTCATCAACAAAAGATGCATGCCACTTTTCTGGTCACAGAGCCTAAAATAAAATGTATAGACAGCCTTTATTTGATATGGAGATAGAGGCTGACTTCCCTTTCTTTTAGCAAAGTTTGTGGCACTTACGCTTTACTTTCATCTTCTGGGTTTTGCTCTTGGCTTTGACTTTTAGAATTCTTTTAAAATGGAAAATACTAATTTCTGAAGAACACGTCAGAAGCATCCAAAAAAATAATCTAAGAGTAAAAATGTATACGCACTTGAATCTTTAATATCTCTTTTTCAGCCATTGTCATGCAAATTTGTAGATTAAAATTATAGTACTACTTACATTTCCAGGAAGTGCCTTGGAGAAATCCCTGGCCATCAGTCAAGGGGGAGAACTCTATGAAGAATGGCTGGAGCTCAGAAATGGCTGCCTGTGCTGTTCAGTAAAGTGAGTAAGGACTATTGTACAGGCTCTTGCAGTGAGTTTTGGGGGGATTGAGGAACGGAGAAGTCATCCAGGATTTGGTTCCTGAAGCTGATGATAGTATTGATTGAGACTTATTTTGTCAGATGAAACAAGAACTGAAATTTGGCAGATAGAGAATTATTTCCTTTTGCTGCCTTACTGGATTTGGATTTAGTGTCTTTCAGAAAAATAATACACCACTGGGGTATTGTACGGTGAGGAGCTGTTGCTCTTCTGTTAGTGTTATATGCTTTTATATAGAGAGGTAGAGATTCAGAGAGGCTGAAACTAGCACTCAGGTTTCCTAATTTCCACATTAAAAACTTATTCTGTTTCTTTCTCTGTATGTTGGTTAATACTTGAATATTGTATACCTCAGAAAGGGTGGAGGGAGAGCCTCTTGATGACGTAATGAAACACAGTATTCCAAATTGTAAGCTAATGGTCATGTTAAAAAGCAAGAATGTATTTGTTCTGACATGTTTTTACCCTGTTTGTTTGAATGCTGGATTGTTTGTGCTAAGTTTGTAGTAAACATCATTGTCTGTTTATCCTGAAAATTTGGAAGAACCAGTCCTGTTCCTTAAATTGGGATAGTAAGTGGAAAACAGAAAACCCTGTTGCGTTGTGTTCTACTAGGATGTAAGGAATGCTGCCATTGCTGCTGTTTTTTGTACATGGGCATCTTCTATAAAATGCCGTTTATTTCTGCTTCAGGCTGACTTCATCAGCTGAGATTTAAGTAAATGACACATCTTAGTTTTGCTATAGGTGTGGTAGAAAGGCAGGAGAAGATGGTTCGGTTCTCCCACCCCCCTTCACACACCCCCTTTCATTTTGTAAGCTTAGCTGCCAAACCAAAAAGTTGCATATTTACACAGCCCTACTGTGCTTTCCAGGGTTTTCAGTGTTTAAAAACAAATCTTCATTTAAATCACCTTTATTATGCCTGTCAGGAGTAGACAAATACCATTTTCAGACTAAAATGAAACAAAACTACAGTTTGCCTAATGCTAGAGGAGCAGCTTGATGACTGAATTTTCATTTTAGACTGTGAGTCCTGACTCAGGCCTTTGCTTTGATGGTGCTGACACTGTGTTGTGCATCAAAAGATTAATGTTTATACTTGTTTAAACTTGTCTTCTCTGTTCTCAGGTTTACTTGTTTCTTCTTACAGGGACAATGGTGTGAAGGCGATTGAGAACCTGATGCAAAGGAGAGGGAAATTTGACTATATATTGTTAGAAACAACTGGTTTGGCGGATCCAGGTAGTTCACATTATGGTTTTCATAACCGTGATAATTATTCTGTTTTTGTGAAGTGCTTATTTGGTCGTCAGTCAGTTCACTATGTAAAATGTATTACGAAGCAGTGAGTAGTCAGGCACATGCTTTGATTGCTGTGTAGACTAGAACTGAATCGGATAAGGTGCAGAAGCAGGGTTGTGGGTGGGGTTGTTTGTTTGTTTTTTTGTTTTGTTTTGATTTTTTTTGACTTGCTCTAAATTGACTCTAAAGCTTAGAAGATACCCAATTAAAATATATTTGTGTCAAGGGAAGACACTGGGCCTGGAGATGAGAAGCATACTCTGAAACTAGTACTTTTCAGAAGGCTTTTCCTGTTCTACATTGCTCCTTCTAAAGTATAAATTATTAGCATCTGATGTATTGTAACGTTGGTTGTGACAGGCCATATATTTTGTAAAGTCGTAATATGCTGCTGAACAGACTAATGCTGAGCAGAATAATAGATCTTACAAATTTCTTGTGGGCTGTTTAGTGATATTTATTATAAAAAAGGTGTTTAAATTTAAGCTCATGTTAGTAATAGCTATCTAAAACATTTTTCTCTGAATCATATTCATTAAAAATGTATATTTGATTGAGAGTGAAGGAAATTCTTACCAGAAATTCAGTTGTTTCCCATTTAGGAGACTGACACCTTACAGCTCAAAGCTAAATAGTTGTCACGGTAAAGTAATTTTCTTCAGAAGAAAGGACATTGATTTGGCCTCTGTTACACACAAATTCTATTTGAGCCAGCTTGGAAAACTATTAAGCTTTTTTGGAAAAAAAAAAAATCAATAGATACCAGAAAACCGTTAGATGTTGGGGCCGTTGCTATATCTTGCATGAGTAAGCATTGTGAACAACTGACAGGTATTTGGTGTTGATACAGCGTGATGTTTGGAGGACTGCATCTTGTCACTTCAGGTGGATAGTTTTAGGTGGTAGAATGACTTTGGTTACTGTGGTTTTTTTTTTGTGTGTTTTTTTTTTTTTTGGTGTGCTTAATAATCCTAGACAGCCTGCCAGTAACTAAGGATCTGACAATTGAAAAAAATGCCTGTTGTTGCTATCAGCTCCTCTTGTCATTTATATTGTGGCACTGATAAATGGGTTTGTTTGATAACAAATTATGATTATTCGTTTTTAAAAAAATAAGTATACAGCACATCCCCAGTTTTACAGGGACATTTTAGCAGAAAACAGAAGTAGCATACTCGTAGGCCATGTGTAGTACACAGGTATCAGGTCACAGATTCCAAGCCCTTGATAGAATGTGGTCCCAGTTGTCCAAATACTTGTGGATTCTTTTCACTCAAGGTTTGTCAGTTTAGTATGTTCCATTTTATATTCTGATAAATGCAAATAAGTATACAAAAAAGAGAGGGTGCTCCACATTTCATTATTCCAGAAACACCTCATTTGGATGGAAATTCAGTGGATGATGAGGCCTAGCTTGTAAAAAAATACCAGAATCATATAATCATAAAGTAATCCAGTTTAGAAGAGATGTCAGTAGGTCTTTGGTCCAACCTGCTGCCCCAAGCAGAGTCAGCTATAATACAAGACGGTTGTTTGGGATGTCAGGACATATATCTCCATCCTCTGAGAATAAACATGACACAACATCTCCAAGCAACCTGTTCTGTGCCTGCTTTTTCAGGCAGAAAAAAGCCTTTTTTCAGAAAAAAAGCCTTTTCATATCAGAAAAAAAGAACGTTTTTCTGATATGTGTTGATCTGAACCTCTCCTACCTCAGTTTACTGCAGTTGTGTCTTACCCTTCTGCCACAGCCTGGCTTAGTCGTGTCAGTGACTCACCTGTAGGTACCAGGGAGGCTGCTGTTAGGTTTCCCAGAAGCTGTCCATTCTCCAGACTGAATGAACCTGCTTCCCCTGCCTCTCTTTGTAGGGCCTCTGCTCCATCCTCTACTGTCTTGTTGATCCTACACAGAACTCACTCCAGTTCACTGATGTCTTTCCTGTATACGGGACTCCCCATGCTGGAAGCGCTAGCCAGATGTGGGCTTGAAAAGGCTAAACAGAGGACAATAACCTCCCTCAGCCATACTTCTGTTCCAAAAGCCTGGGTGCTTTTGGCCTTCTCCAATCCCAGGGTACGCTGCATGCTCAGATTACTGCCTACCAGAATCCCCAGGGACTTCTCCATAGACTTGCTCCCCAGCCAGTCTGTCCGTAGCCTGCATCATTGTCAGGTACTCTTTTGTTGTTGAGTGTATTACTCAACCTTTTTCCTTGGTGAATTTCATGAGATTTTCATTGGCCATTCCTTCCAGCCCAGTCATGTCCCTCTGAAAGATACCTCTACCCTTAGGTATATCTGCTGTTTCTTTCCAAATGTGATCTTCTCTGTAGACTTGACAGGCATGTCTTCCTTCCTCTCCTGGGTTCCTGGTTAAAGATGTTTAAGAGGACAGGTCTCAGGATAAACCCCTGCAGGACTGTACTGACTTCCAAGTAGAGTGTGACCTGTTAACTGCAACCCTTAGAGCTTAACTATCCAACCAGTTTTACCTAGTTTTCTTTCCATTCAGACTGGTAATATCTCAGCTTGGTTACCAGAGTATCTTCCAAGACAGTGTTGAAGAATTTGCTAGAGGTGATGTAAATGGCATGCAGTGCTCTCCCCTTGTCCACAAATACAGTAATTTTTTCACTGAAGGCCAGATACGGCCTTCACATATTAACCAAGCATGATTTATCCTTGTAAACTTCCCTTCCAGTACAATGTCTGTTTGCAAATTGAACCTGCGTTAGATACTTCTTAACTAGAAGTATCTTAAAACTATCTGAAGCCAGAAGCTTTACTGTGCGGACCTGAGATAGTTAAGGAAAACGTTCTTTTCTGTATCTGGTTATTCTTGACTTTCTTCATCCAGTTGATTTATGATGTAAAAAACTACTTAGAAGAGTTCATAGAAGCCAGTGAAGAAGGAGGGAGCTCAGAGGGAGCTGATTTCTCCCAAATATGCTAATTCCAGTTTTCTTTGACTGTTCAATCTCCTTTTTTTTACCTCTTTTTTTTGTGTGGTTTTTTTTTTTTTTTTGCATGTGAGTGCTGTGGCTTAGAAACTGTCTGAAAGGTGAAGAGAGGGAGTACAGAATTTTTGCTAGAAATGAGGGTGCTTTGGAGTATAATAATGACAGATAATTGATATTACTGGGTAAAGGTAATTCAGACAACTTACATGCATCTGGAATTGTGAGGTTTTTAAAGCCTTTTGTGATCATAGCTGTTGATGTGCACACAAGTAGAGTGCTTTCATAGCTGTTAGATCAAATGTGTGGTTGGGTATTTGACATCTATGATGCTTTCTGAGTTCAGAGTTTCAAGTACGGGACTACAAAGAGTTTTTCTGTGAAATGTTTGAATATTGATAGCTTAGTGGAAAATGTCAATTTTGCAACTAAATGTACTAAATGTACTACACTTCTTAGGAGCTGTGGCCTCCATGTTCTGGGTTGATTCTGAGCTGGGAAGTGACATCTATCTTGATGGTAAGAAGTGCAAGCTTGTTCTTCAATGTATTGGCATTCCATATCTGGATTTAGTGTAATGTATCCTTATAATTTAAGGCAGGGTTTCAGAAAATGTTTGAAATAACATGACTTGGTTCTTATATCCCTAAATTTGACTACAGAGATCCACTTGCTTATTCTGATGCATGTTTATCTCTTGGTGAGCTGTTTCAGTTTACTAAATCCAACAAAAGTTGTGTAATGTTTTGCTAAGGGATCAGATATGGAGAGATCTTGATTGTGATGTAAGGGGGCCTGGAAAACCTCATTAGTTAAATGGTATAAAACATTATTTAGGAGTAATATTACAGCTCTTGTAACATTTTTTTTCCGATGCAGTGTTTCCTAAATTGTTGCCTTGTTTCTGAACTCTTAACTTGTCAACATGTGGACTCCCCTGCCTTTTGTTTTCTGCCTTCTTTAACCTATTGTACTCTTGTTAGCTCTAGTATTTGCTATGTTCCATTAAAAATCTGAGTTTACTGTAATATAAATCATCATGACATATAGTTTAAAGAGTGTCTTAAATGTTGATTTTTTTTTTTTTAATGTAGGAAAAAACCTTACTTTTTGGCTTAAAAAAAAAAGTTCCGACTAACAATTTGATCAGTCTGTAAAATACCCATCTAGTCAAGGAAACATTGAGTTGAATAGGAAACAGCTTCCTAAGTTTCTTACTGGTCAGTTACAATCAGAATAACTGTATACCTTAGTCAGTCCCCTTAATTTGTTTCAATAACCTGTAAAAACATACCTCTGCCAATTTGCTGTTGTGGAAGAAGGAGAAGCATCCACGTTGTGATAATTTCTCTCATTTGGTTTGGTAGATCTTTGTTTACCACAGATATGAATAAGAAATAAAGTAATTAAGTGGCAAGTCTAATGTTCAGATACACTGGAAGGATTGAAAGTATCATGAGCACTTGTAAATGTGATGATACTGTTACTTCAGTAATTGTACAGGAAGTTTACAAATTGTTAAATTGTTAGCTGCTGAAGGCAGCTAACATTAAAATTAATTTAATGTTAGCTGAAGGCAGCTAACATTAAAATGTTCCATTTTAATCTTCTCTTTTAGGTATTGTGTCTGTTGTTGATGCAAAGCATGGATTGCAGGTGAGTTACTGGATTTGTTACATGGTTTAAAAGTGCAACATAGAACAGCTATTGCAATAATGTTCATTCAGATTAATTATATTTTTACAATTGCTTTAATTCTTAGAATGGATGAGGACGTATTTCAGTTGCCGTGATAAGTTAGTGCTGTATTTTGCCTGGGAACAAAGAACTACTGATATTCATAGGAATTCTTATTCTTACCAACACAGCAGCATGTCGCCTACTAAGAGTTGTAAGGTTGCTGTACGCTTTATTTTGTCTAGTTATATCACTACACTTGGGAATCTTGGTAGTATTCCAAATAGACCTTTGGATTACCGTAAAACAGTGGACAAATTTGTCTTACAGAGTGTCATTGGCCCATGTTACTTGAGGGGAGTGAGAACAGACCTCTGATACCAGTGTGGTAACGAGCAAGTTAGGGCTCAAATTGGGAAAGGTGCCGATGTAATGTCAGCTGTGGTGAGGAGAGATGAGAGCCACGTGTCTAGGTACCATTTCCAATTCAAAGATGACTTCATTACATGGAAGCAGACAAAAGAGCAGGTATTAGAGTAATCTATATGAAGTGATATGGAAAAACAGACCTATAGAACAGTGAGGTTGGAAACCAGCAGAAATTGTAATTAAATCAAATAGTTCAACTGTTTTTGTAATCGCTAGTCATAAAAATAATTCTTCGCAATGTCATAACTTAGGAAGTGACTACTTTAATTAGGTATTGATTTTGCAGGATTCAAAATAAAAGTGACCATAAGAAAAGATGCCTGCATGGTACAAAAATCCCATCATGCTGTGAAAGCATTTTTAATATCTCGGTATTTTACAAAGGCTGCAAAAAGCTGAGAAAACCAAAGAATAATGGTTAAAAAGTAAGGAAGCAATCCCTCCTTTTTAAGATTTTCTTTTGTTTGGACTGTTTGAATTTCTCATTTCAGTTGAGCTGATTCAATAGCTCATTTACCAAAAGGGGACAGTCCTGTCCTCTCATCAATTTGTGTTGCATCAGAATGCAACTAATCTAACCTCATAGCAAGCCAGTTTGGTGAGTTAAGCCATCGTGTTTTGCGAGGACTTTTTTTGAGGAGCTGGGAGAAGAGCAAGGGGAAGGGGATGTGAGCTGGTTTGCCCTTTTAAGCAGGAACTGACCTTTAAAATTATCACAAGAAGCCACAGCATGTCTTAAGTCAACCACCTTTTCAGCTGACTGCCTTCATACTAATTCGGATGTGTTGTTACTTGCAAAAATGTTGTTCTGTTTACCTTTCTCTTCATGCAATGCAGATTTGTTGGTGCAAATCAAATATAATTGTGTTGCACACAGCAGCAGTGAATTACTATTGTTTAAAAAATAAAACTTAGTATTTAAACTTTCAAGCTTGGTGCTCTGGTCACCCGCGACATAGAGAAGGCTGAGGTACTCAATGAATTTTTTGCCTCAGTCTTCACTGATAAAGCCTCTTGTCTTACCACCCAAGCTGTGGAAAGAACTAGCAGGAACTGTGAGGATGAACCACTGCCCACTGTACTTGAAGAGCAGGTTCGGGAACATCTGAGGAACTTGAAGGTGCACAAGTCCATGGGACCTGATGAGATCCATCCGCGGGTCCTGAAGGAACTGGCGGATGAAGTTGCCAAGCC